AATGCTAAAAACTCAAGGCAAATTAACTCATAGTTACTGCTACTGGAGTAGCATTAAATTAAAACAGAAGTAGATTGAAAATTTTCTGAGAGAATAAAAGCAGATAAAACATGACACAAAGTCAGACATTTATCTAAACAAGAGATGGTTCAATGTCAGTGCTGAGGCTTATGTTTCGAACATGCCCTTAAAACAATGCAGCTATCTTGTAAGATCCAGATACTCATAGCTAGCTTTGTATTCACACAGATGCTTTGCACAAGTACACAACTGAGAATTGTCTCTAGAATAAAAGTCAAATCCTTCTAAAAACAGTGAAACACTATGAACTATGAAAACATTAAAAAAAAAATTTCTTGGTAGTGAGAAAAGGAAGGTTATTCTGTGGACAGCGTTACAGGTACTGGGTCTGTGGATTCAAAATGAAGAAGTTCTGAAAAAAGACGTTTCTGTTTTTCTTGTGTGCATGCAGGTAATTGGTGTTTTATCTTGAATACATATGAGATCAGACATTGTAAGAGTGAATGTGCATGTGCAGTGCTAATACAACCAACAAGCAGAGAAGTACCTAAAATACTTTTACTTTCCTTTAGAATGCAAATACTGCCATTAAGTGCACTGTGGCAACACTTGAGATCAATGTAGTCTTAAAATATCACACACAAGCTATTTAAGTTTCTTAAGACAACAAAATTGGCAATAAAATAATAGTTACGCTGTGTTGGTAAAAATAGCTCATTTTCCAAATGCAGTTCTCTGTAAGTAGAAAAACTGCAACTGTCTTGTATATACCATAAGCTATTTATCTAAAATTGCACTGTCAGTGAAACAGATGTCATTGTACAATATCCCTGCACCACCCACATTCTGTTCTCCTAGTTGCCAAACAGAACTGTTTTGAATTATTTACTGAACAATCAGAGTCAAGCATTTCTGCAATGAAAAAAAGTATTTAAAACTGAAATGTAGTTCCACATGATGTTTTAACGTGACTCAATACATTCAACATATTTTCACCAACACAGATGATGAAGAACAGACTGAAATCTTAGCAGAAAGTTTAAGAAAGTCTTATTTTTAAGACATTTGTCCATCAGATTCTTCCATTTTCCTCTTCCTATTATAATCAATTTCAAGTTTATGTTTTTAAATATCTTTGTTCAGCTAAGGAGGATACCAGATTAATACCAAAGTCTCTACCTCAGTCCTTACTTATCTGTTCTTTGCAGGACAGCTACATAAAACCTAAAAATCATACAACAGAATAAGTTAAGCTGGAAGGGACTTCTGGGGAGATCCAGTGGTGGGGTGGCACTTACTACTGTAGGGCCCGTTCAGTGTCACTCCTTAGGGACCCATCTTGATCTGCATATTCCATGTACCATCCTACACTGTAGAACTCAGCCATCTGGTTCTTATCTTTCTTTTCATGCTGTCTTGCTTTTTCATCTATCCTCCTTTTTTTCATCCTTTTCACAGTGATCTCTGGAGTTCATCAGTATCAGACTGTCACCAGGCTTCCTAGGGGCGGCATGAGGCACAGAACTTTCCACAGTTCAAACAGAGCCTTGCCAGTGAAGTCTCTGAACTTTAAATGCAAAAAGATTTGTAGTCTGTTCTCACCAGTGACACAAAATTGTTCTGAAAATTAAAGCTAGCAGATTTTCTCAACCTGACACTTTAATTATCCAGACTGTATATGTTTGAAAGCATGCGAAAGAAAATAGTGAGTACAATGAAATTCATATAGAGTACTCTGTCTGCATTTACATTTATACAAGCAACCAACACACTAAAGAAAGTAAGATCAGAAGTTCAAATAGTCACAGTCTTCTAGTACAAAAAGATGTGCTTTAATTTTTAAGAATCAGGATAGGAATCTAAAAGGCATCAACAGAGATATACGTGCATTCCAGCAACCTGATGAATACAACTAGAGCAAATGAAAACTGGACAAAAAAGTCAGTTCATATCTAAAGCCTTTCCTCACAGGAAATAATCTCCCTGAGACAAAAGAACAACAACAACCAAAAAAAAAAAAAAAAAACACCACAAAAAAAAAAAAAAAACCAAACCAAAACAAACCAAAACAAAACAACTTTCTTCAACATCTTCTGAAGACAACTGAGAATAAAAGCACTGAAATTAATATTAAAATACCCTTTAGTATTTCAAGAGGTTTCTCATCTGATCAGTTTTTTACTCTTTGGTACTTGTTTGCTAATAAGCTACCTAACCCTTCACTATCCAGATTTATGATGCCTTATATAGACTTCTCAAATTTGTTAAGCTGCTTTCAGATTACAACAGCCTTAAAGGTAAATACGACACACACAGTTTTTTAGCAGAATACTTGCCAGTTTGGCAGCAGTAGAATCAACAACAGACAGGTAGAGGGAGTTTTGCTTAGAGGAAAGAATTTTCTCTACTCTCCTGAAATTAATATATTTCAAGAGACTTTAACACACCCAGTTCCAGATAGCAGCCTAGAAATTCTCTCGCTCAATGGAGGAAAAGAGAGTGAAAAAGTTTCCATCAGAAACAACTGAGATTGCAAATTCTGTGTTCAGTATACTAATTCAATACATACAATTGTACATATACACTGTTGATGAGTGGAAGCAATCTAGGCTAACAGTTAATACTGTAGGAATTAAATTTTTTTTGCCACCAAAAGCCAAGATGATCAGTTCTGTGATAATTATAAACCTCATTGTTTAGGAAATAAACATCCATGTGCGTTGAATGGGCATCAGACTTCAGACTATAAAAGCACTTTATTCTTTGCTTTAGACAACAACTTCAAGGTGAAAGTACTAAGCGTCTCTATCACACTTAGGACTACATGTAATAACTTTTGGGGTTTTTTGCTGTTTTTTAATTTAAAAAGCAATCTAATTATAGCAAATAAATTAAGAAAGAACTTAACTGAGCTTTTATCCAACAAACATAATCTGTGACATCCTTGCTATAAGAATATAATTTCAATCATCCTGCTTAACGCTGTTCAACTGAAGGATAAAATAATTCATAATGACATATAATTTCAAAGTGTAAGTGGAATATTCAAAAATATGTCTTTACAGCATGGTTCACAGAGTAAAAACATGGTCTGACACCTTGAGAAGCTATTTTCCCCAGGAAGCAGAAAATACGTATTTGCTAAATTGCAACCAAATTAGAACATCTTTCATCTTCCTTCACCCCTCAATGATTCATGAATACATTATTTTATAATTTTAATTAAATTTAATTCAGGAAAAATATTTTCATTAAACATATCATGTGGTTTCAGGAAAAGTAGCCAATTTTTAATTTTTTTTCTGTGTACCTGTATTATAAATAAACTCTAAGTAATTAAAATGTTAAACAATAAATGAGCGGTTCTAAAGGTATCCTTTTAAAATCTAGTCCATCTAGAGTACTTCAAATATAAATAATGTTCAATATGGCTCGCAAATGATTTATTCTTCTGTTCAGCCGAAAATAATTAAACACTTTGATATACAGCTACTCTCCCTTACCTTGTAGCCTGGACAACATAAAGCAGTTGCTTTTCATATTGATAATTGCTTCAGAACCACTACAGATTTGTATTTTCTGTCCAGTTTTGGACAGATGAAGTTTGCTTTGTATACTATAGTCTTTCTATCATCACACATTTTTAGCACTAACTCTCAAAGGATTTACAGTGCACTATGAACTCTAAGATTATTTAGAAACCAACTAATGTAGTTAAAGAAGCCCCTTGCTAATTACAGTAAGTATTTTGTTGGTGTTGACCCTTCTTTTCATTTACTTATAAAATCCCAAAAGTGTATTTTGAGAAAGATGAAGATGAGCATGCTGATTTTGGAAAAAAAAAAACAAACAAAAAGGAAAAGATAAAGTTACAACTAAGTGTACAGCTGTTAAACCTAGTTAGAGAATACAAGCAAAAAAATTATACTTTTTTGGGTTTTAATTTTGGTGGTTTGTGGCTTGCTCTAAAACTGAATGTGTCTGTCACAACTTTTAAAATTTCCAGCTCTGGTATGTCTCTCTCCTCCTGTTTATGTGCCTGTGCATTTATATTGGTGGATTCTGCCTCTTCTGAACAACTTCATACATGACTGCTAAATAAAAGAAACAGAACAGTCAGCAGCTAGGTCCCTGACAGTTTGAATAATTACTGCATAATAAAACCTTATCTGATGAATATACTCAAAGTTATATAAAACCAGACATTCCAACCAACATATTGCTACATGTATAAGTATTAACCAGCTCAGCTTCATAGCTCCCTTAAATATTGCTTGATTTAAGAAGAAAGCTGTTTAAAAGATTATTGTAATTGCTAAAGCTTCAACAAACCCTCTGTGCATAAATTTCATTATCTACTTGTGGACAAAAATTTGTTTGCATAGTTGCCAATAGCATATGGGAAACCATCCTCCTTAAACAAAGAACCTACGACTTTTGCCATTGTGATCACTCCTTTCACGAGTTTTTTCCATGTAATTGCCACTAATTACAACAGGAAGTTAATGTTGTATTATCAGCATCAGTAGATGAAAAACACGTATAAAAATACTTTTGTACAATATTCTTAATTACTTGTGCCTTCTCTAAGGAAGAAAGTGCATTGAAAGTCTTTAGAAAGCCAAATTTTGTCACAGGATCCTCCCCAGATATTGTCACTGCTTAATCCAAAAGCTTAGGGAAAAAATAGCTCAGACCTCATCAATGTGCCAAAATGCTGAGTAAAGGTTTATGTCCTTTTGCTGGCATTTTATTTCTTGCTTCCTATGTGATCAGGATAATTCTGGAGTTAAAAGCTATTGATTTACTGGAAGGCTACTTGTTTTTTTATTTTCAATATCAGTTTGATTAAACAAAAAGACATTTGTGCAAAACTTTTCTATATTGACTATTGTACGGTATTAGCACCCTTATGCTATAAAAGGATTTTGCATTTATAAGGACAATAGTACATATAATGCAACTAAAAATTGACCAACCTTTCCTTCAGCATCTGTCGTTACCTTCTCAACCTTGTTCCTGTTTAAAAATTTCTTCACCAATTCTTCTACTTGGACATTGAACTTCATAAATGTCACATAGAAAAAATATGCTGTCAGGAGTGTTATGCTCTCCCACCACATTATGAAGTTATCCAGAAAAAAGATGATTAGCAAGATCAAGTCAATGATGTAAAAGGACATATCTCGAAAAAGTGGCCACCAAGTAAGGTTCAAGATCTCTTTAGAAAATAAAGCACACATTCCAATAACAAATAGGATATTGAACACGGCAGATCCCACTATTGTACCAATGCCAACGTTGCTGTGGGATATAAACACTCCTATCAAAGAAGTGAAGAGTTCTGGGGCTGACCCACCAGCAGCCATGAAGGTTGCCCCTGCCACATCATCAGAAATGGCCAGTTTTTCAGTGATGACAGTCAAGGAAGGAACAAAGAACTCATCACAGACTATGGCTAAGGCTATAAACATGTAAATCATTCCAATTATATGGAGGATCACTGCTCCCTGTCTTCTCTCTTCAAGAGAGAAAAGGTCCTCGGGGTACTCTCCCTTTGCATGATCATCTGTTTCATTGTCATGTCCAGCTTCATATTTCATAGAAGCATGTGGATCTGGAGTGCCGTTTTCATTCTGTTCTGCGAAATCCAAGAGAGTTCTTTGGTGCCCATGCACCAGCTTTTGGCTATCTAGGCTGCTGACCAGTGCCATGCTATGTGGTTCCATCTTGAAAAAGGCACTCATTGAAAGTGAGAAAGTACTAATGGCCGCTACACTGACAAGGAGCCCTACAATTCGTATCAGTCTCATTTTTTTCCTGACATTCTGGTGCCACCTGCAACCGAACAGTGGTTCCGCCAAACACCACTCCTCCAAGACATCAACAACAGTTTTTTTCTGAAGAGACATTTTGTGTTCTGTGTGAGATGCTGAGGGAGTTAGATGGACTGTTCCTTCATACTTTTCTCCAGCTTTGAAGTTAGAAGTGCTGTAAGAGTCTTCCCAGAATCAAGTACTTTTACTCTTCACAGGACGTATTTTCTTCATTAGTCTTAAAAGGACAAACATTGATATTAGTGAAACAGGAAGTGATTAGAAACTTATGATAGCATTTTACAGACTGGGTTACATTTCAAATTTGAAGCAGAATATATAAGATAAACCTCTGTCACATCCCACCAGACACAGCAATTATATGTTTGTTTAAGCAGTAACCCTGTGGATAACAATTTACCAATACTCATTTTACGCCTCTCATATGCCTCTCTGCTCTCCTCAGTTGCGGACAAAAAAAATCCTAGTGAAGGTAAAACTGTCCCCAGATGTTGTACAAAAATGAAGAAACTATTATTTTAATGGATACACCAAAGATTATTACCTGCTGTAATTACTTTCCACTATGAACATGTAACGTCCAAATCCCAAATGCAGGGACAACAGTGCCAGGAAAAGCAATCAAAGTGCTAACAAGCGTCTCATCAGACCTTTAGACAGCTGAGGCAGCATTAATTGAAATGTTACATGTGCATAGAGCAACAGACATTGATGTGCAAGTAGAACACTGATGGTGGAAAAGGACTGAAATTGGAGTTTCTTTAGCTCCTCTGTAAAATCGACTCAGCTTTACAGAGAGAACTTGGTTTCCTTCTGATCGTAGGTAGGACAGTGTCTTGGATATGTCAAGACAAAATTTCTAGTCTCTCTCATTTTGTTTTGACTTATGCCATCCATTCAGAAATAAATGTAGGATGTTACTAAGAATACCTATTAAAAGTGCTTCTCTTACTAACACTTAAGAAAATTATTTAAATTTACACAAGATTTGATCCTGAAACAAATGAAATGGTAAGAGATTATGCAAGAATGACTATTCATGTATGCCAGAGATGAACGTTCTTGACTAACAGCACTTCTAACACAAGAAAAAAAAAATCTGTAGATAATGTTTGGGTTGAGGAATTTGAAGAACATTCGTAGTGTAGAAGTTAGCTACATATATGTCTTTCACAGTTATTTGTATTTTATATGAAACAAAACATAAGCTACTGTTTCAATAAAACTGAATCTTAGTCTTTACAATTACTGCCCAAAAATACTTTGTTACATCTCTTATTCTAGTCACTTGTAGCAGTAGCTGAATTCTGAACATTCTATCAATCAGCAGAACAACCGATTTTGTATTCTCAAATACAGGATTACAGCTATTATAATCCGTTATCTCCCGAGAAGTTATGAAGTCATTCTCAGTTTCTCCTGATTTTTTCAAACAGTTTCCACACTAAGATGTCATAGAGACATACTTCATCCGCGAGATGCAGTAGCACAGCAGAGATATTTATTTTCCACCCCAGAGTTAACTCGACGGACTGCCACAAAAACATTTAGCAGGAAAGATACCGGAACGGCACCACCACCGCTGCCGCGCACAGCCGGCGGCGACGGGCCGGTGTCCGCGCTCCTTTGACCATTTCGCGAACGGGATACAGGACAAGCGCTCGATCTGTCTCCTGCCCCGGCCAAGCTCAGCCAGACCGCTCCCGACACGGCGGACCCCAGACCCCGCCGGAGCGCAGCGCAGCCCCCCGCCGCCCCGCCTTCTTCCCCGTCCCCCCGCGGAGATGCCGCAGAGCCTCGCCTAACTCAGCCCAAGTTCGCACCGCTCCGCCGCGCTCCGCTCCACGCCGCACAAACTTTTTCCACCTCCGGAAGGGGAGCGGGTCCAGCCCCGAGAGCGTAGAGCCGCGGAGGCACCGACCGGGGGCTCGGGGCACCGGTCGCGCCTCGGCAGCCGGTACCGCCCATGGAGGCGGGAACTTGCGGATGGGAGTCCCCGCACCGCCGCAGCCCAACCCCCGCCCGCGACTCCGCCGGCGCTCACCCGGAGCTGCGCTGCGCTGCGCTGCGCGCCGGCCCGCGGCCGCTCGGCAGGGCCACGGGAGGAGCGGGACGGGGACCGGGACGGGGACAGGGACGGGCACAGGGACGGGCGGGCCGCGCACAGCCCCGCGCGGCACCGACTGCGGCGGGCGGCGGCAGCGGGTCCGCCCCGCGCAGGCGGGGCAGCGGCGCCCCGCCCCCGCCCGCCGCGCTCCCGCGGGACTCGGGTCGCTGGCCAAGCGAGGGGGCCAAGGAATTTATTTTTTGTTTCTTAACCTCCTTCATCCTGGGTTAGCTGACGCGGTTTTAAGCGAGGTAAAATTCAGCGCTTCTAGCAAAGGTTATATGCCTCGAAGAGCGGGGCTGTTTTTAAAAGGTGAGGCCTTCTGATCAAAATGTCCTTTATGTCAAATGAAGGGAAATCAGGAAATTAAAGATAAGGACGTCTCATTTTGGCTTTGATTTAAGGAAGACAACATATCCATGATTAAATTATTTGTCATGATTAATTTACTGCTGAGCAGAAATTTCTTCAAACTGCATTTCAAAGTTGTCAAAGAGAACAATAAAGATGCACTTTAAAAAACACGAGAAACAGGAGAATTCCTTAGCCAGAGCTGTCCCCTTCTATTTTGATCTTCTGTTTTCAACATCACTATTTCCCCAATAAGCTGTGCTTCATTAAGTAAATGCTTCAAAATTCATAAAACATTGAAACAGTCACAATGCAGCTCTGCCATAGCTAATTTCCTGCGACATATGCTGGAGATCTATTAGAGTACACAGGTGAAATTCTTTTGAAATATTAGTTACATTCCTTGTCTAGGCCATTGTTTAAAAAATTTACTTGGTAATCCATGGATAAACCAAAGTAATCCAGTGTAGGCGGGCCAACATCCCAGGAAGACCTTGCTTGATTCAGGGCAGTTTAAGAACTTCATGTGGAAGTCCATGAAAAATGCAGCACCCAGGATATTCGAGTCTGTTGGGCAAGAACAGCTGTGAAGATCTGGGAAAAGTTTGGTAAACAGCTCATTACACTTCTCTGCTTGCAGTGACATGCTTTGCACATTCTGAAAAGCCCTACTGTAAGAGGTGAACTCTCAGTCTCTTTGGGGTAAATAACATAAATAACAACCTCTTACAGTTTCTACTTTCTTCATTTTGAACTCTGATTTCATCCTCTGGCAAACAGAAAATAACTGTTAATTCATGCTTCACAAAGAATACAAAAATGTAAGAGTTTATATTAAGTGATAATACAGGGATATTATAAGAATTATTAGGAAATCACATGAAAAATAAGGACTGTTAGGGTAAGCCTGACATGCACAGTCTGTTTATCTCTCCACACTGGCATTTTGTAGGACCTGGGCTGTTTGGTTTGCGTTTGGCATTAATGGGAAACTCATAAGTTCTAAAGACTTAGGAGATGCCAAAATGAGATACACCAAAGTACAGCAGACATCTTAGAAACTGTGTGACCACAAAAAAAGAGATGTAAAAGGTTACAAAGATATTTCCAAAATTTCAGTGGTTTCCAATGAGAGCCACAGCTGAGTCATGTACACAAAGTGTGCTTTAAGGCCAGAGTCTGCTTGTGCGGTGTACATTTATTTCACGTTTAATACTGGGAGGTGGTCATTAGTGGTTGACAGTTGATGGAGGGGGCCTGTGCATTATCACAATTTGCCTTTGTTCAGTCTCAGGATGATGCAAGGAAACATGTGGAGATTGCTTATAACCACGCTTCTAGAGGCCCCACATAGATGAGAATTAGTTGAAATGTGGATTTACTTCTGTATCCAGATATGCAAGGCCTAAATGAAGTAGCTACATCTCAAACATTCAACCTGTGCCTGCTATACAGTGTGACAGGAACTAAGGGTAGGTATGCTTATAAAATTTCTTGTGACTGCTGAATTGTTAGTTTGCAGTCTATGAGAAGTGGCCACATGAAAAAACATCAAAAATGGTTTTACAGATTTGCAGATGGCCCAGAGGTAGGCTGAGATATGTGCAGTATCCCAATTTTATCAATTTATGAATTAAAATTGGAAGTACGTGACTTTTACAAATAACCACAGGGAGAATATGTAGAAAATCCCCTATAATTATGTGATTATATTCCCTGTAATGGTATTATCTACTATCTGAAAGTCTATGCATCTGAATTCTAATATCCATCTATTCTCTGTAGTTGGAAAGATTTTTCTCCCAACAATAAAAATGTGTTCCAAGCCAGGGACAATAATATCTGTAACAAAAACTATGTGGCTCACAGATGGGTATCTCTACCAATGACTTAAGCATTTTGAATCAGCTGACCCATCCTCATATAAACGCTGCCTACTAATCAGGAGATAATTAAATAAGCACAGTTACATTAGTATAAGAAAGATAATAACAATAAAAGAATTTCCTTTTTTTTTTTTTTTTCTCATAAAATTAAACACCAGACTGTATCCTGGTTAAATACAGAGTAACTAAATCATTTGAGTGAAACAATACTTGCCTCACAGGTGTTCAATGTTTCTCCTTTAAAGGGAGAAGAGAAGGCACCTCTGCTAGCTATTTGGATTGTACCCTTACACATTTGCAAGTACGACTAGGTTTTTATTTATGCTGAATATATACTTTTTAATACCTTATCTGTAGTTAACTGCATCATGTGTGAGGAGTGAGGTGAATTCATAAACCACTCTTCTTTACCAATTCCTATTTCTAGGAAGCCGCAAGAAGTAAAATCTTTTTATTTTATTTAATTTTTTTTTTAACAGTATTTTTGTTTTGTCTATTTTCTTGCTGTTGTAACCTTAAACTTAGTAAAAGCAAACACAGAGTGGTTTTTTTTGTAATGGAGAGGGAAGGAGGAGGGAGTCAAATGAAAAATCCTAAATAACAACATCTCTAAGTACCCCAAGCAGTACCTTCTAAAGCTGGAAGATAAAGCTGATGAGGAGGTTACCATGACTACAGAGGCGGCATATTTGAATGAAAATGGATGTTAAGCTTTTAAATGCTAATTGCAGTTGGGAACAGGTGACATTTGAAATATCAAAATTATTTTACACTTTGTCATTTTTAACAAGTAAAACAGGATAGAAAAGATGTCAACATAGAGTTAAATTAAAACACTAGTTCTGGTTTCAGCTGAGATAGAGTTAATTTTCTTTGTAACAACCACTATGGGGTTATATTTTGGATTTGTGGTGGAAACAGTGTTGATAAGTCAAGGATGCTTTATTACTGGTTTTATTACACAGCATCAAGGCCTTTACTGTTCCTCACCCCACCCCACCAGCAAGAAGGCTGAGGGTGCACAAGGAGCTGGAAGGTAAAATATCCAGATCATGTGGTGTCATGCTTAGCATATAGAGCTGGTGGGGTGAACAGACAAGAAATGTCTTAGTGACTGTCTTTGTCTTCCCCAGTCACCATCACACATGATGGAGGCCTGCTTTCTTGGGGATGGATGAGCTATTTCCTACCCATGGGAGGTGACGACTGAATTCCTTGTTTTGTTTTGCTTGCATGTGCAGCTTCTGCTTTATTGTTTAAATCATTGCTATTGCAAACCCACCAGTTTTCTCACTTTTATCATTCTGATTCTGCCCCCTATCCTGATGTAGGGTAGTAAGCCAGTAGCTGTGTGAGGCCTAGTTGGTGGCTGGGGTTAAACCACAACAGTCCTTTTCTGTTATAAGTATTCCATCATGAGTATTAAAAGGTGCAAGATAATGTTTGATTGAAAAATGCTAGATTGAATTTATAGCAGTTATACTACTTAGCTATTAATCAACAGGCTCCTGTGCTTGCCATGGGGCTGACTTGCCTGGCTATATATTAGAGTCTAGTGCTTGTTAGTGACTGCTTTTTTGCTTTCAGTGCTTGCCATAGGGCTGTGCTGCTGATCATGTTATTCTGCTGGGCCTGGGATTCTGATAACAGCGGTGGTGATGTGTGTGGGCTGGCAGATGGCCAGGGCATCACTGCTCATTCTGTGCTACTGTACTGGGCAGGCTGGAACTCCACTGCAAAATCAACTGAGAGGCACTGTGACCTGTGAGTAGGTACACACAGGAGGGAGCAGGGCACCCCAAAGTGTCTACGGCCATGGATATGCCTGTGCCACAGCAGGAAGTATCTGTGCCATGGTTATGTGTGTACCACTGCAGGTACACCTCTGAGAGGACTGTGGCCCAGGGATTAATCCATGCTGCAGCAAGAACACCTTGAAACATGCATGAGGTCATGCTGGAGCACCTCAGTGTGTGTAGCCAGGGAGAATAGTTATGCCCCATGAGGGAGTATGCAGCCATGGGTAAGGCTATGTTGGAGCAGGTTTGTTCCTGAAAGGATGGTAGCTGTGGGTGAGGAGCACTTCCTTCTTCTTCCCCCACCTCTGTATGCTGAGCATGATGCCATATGGTCTGGAATATCCCTTTGGTCATTTGGGGCCAGCTGTCCCAGCTGTGTCCTCTCCCAGCTCCTTGTTCATCCCCAGCCCACTCACTGGTAGGGTGCTGTGAGGAGCAGAAACAGCCTGACACTGCTTAAGCTCTGCTCAGCTGTCACGAAAGCATCCCTGTGTCATCAACATTGTTTCCAGCACAAATTTGAGAGAGAGCTATTATAGATAACTTTATCCCAGACAAAAACTGGAACAGCATGGATATTCTTACACTCTTTGGATTTATTTAAGGGAAGTAAATATGAAGTAAAAATGGTACTCAAATATTGAGGCTGGAAACTGTGAGAATTTATTAACTATGCTTAACCGTGCACAGAATTGGAGTACAGAGGAAGCAACCTGAAAGAGATAAGAAAATCTTTTTATGACTGAAGCCAGTGTTAACCCCTAGACATTGCCAATGAAAAGAAAAGAAATTCATGAGTCATTTCCCTCTTACATTGCTAGGCCCTTGCGTGCCTA